CAACACACACCTGCCTCAACACAAACACACACACACCTGATTCCCTACACACCCGCGACTGTTGCGAGTCGGGTGTATGTTGACCAAAGGACACTAAAATAATTGACAGGTACAAAACTCAACAGAACACTGAACATCACTGGACATCAAACAACCCCAGTTAGCAGCCAACTACCCCACTCGATACACACACACTGACACCGTTCTGACCAGAGAGAGAGAGAGAGAGAGAGAGAGAGAGAGAGAGAGAGAGAGAGAGAGAGAGAGAGAGAGAGAGAGAGAGAGAGAGAGAGAGAGAGAGAGAGAGAGAGAGACCATCCCAGCAGTCATTGACACCCTGAAGATGGGTAAGATGTTGTGAAGGTGTTGGCATACGAAACACCTCACTACACTCTTGCTTGTGTATTCGACGGCTCTAATATATATATATATATATATATATATATATATATATATATATATATATATATATATATATATATATATATATATATATATATATATATATATATATATATATATATATATATATATATATATATATATATATAATATAATCCTTCTCAAATCGCCCTTTAACTGAACAATCAAAAATGGATCTAAATTATACAAACCACCGCTATAAATTACATGATTTTGTAATGTGTATTAAAGCAGATTCAATAATGTTCCTATTGTAAATGGTTTTACACAATTCGTTATTGAAGAAGTCATCTCCCAATCAATTTGGTGGGAACTTTCTGATAAGTGAAGGAACAAAACGCTATGTGATTGGTCATGTCTTGCAGAATATGTCTGTTGCAAAATTCAACATTTCAAATCTTTGGATGTTTGCCCTACATGGATACATGGAACCTATTACAGTTTTTACAAAGTATTTTGTAAATGACACAATTTATCACTTAAGAGAAAGTGATAGTTACCCCTATAACCCAGATGTACCCCACACCTGTAACTCACATATACCAGTAACCCACATGTGCCTATACTTTCACACCTGTAATCCAAACCTCTCCACAATACACTAGGATGGTGCCAGGTTTGGACACACCTGAGTACACCATACACCAGGATCAGAGCAGTTACTAACATACGACTGTTGGAGAGATTGGAAGTCCCCCTCAGTATGGAAAAGAAGGGGAAGGGGTTAACCTGCTTTAGAGATGGGGTGGATGGGACGGTGGGGGGGGGGTGCAGGGAGTGCACTCGTGAGCTGGTTTAAGGGGTTTGAAGAGCATGGGGAGTGAGCCGGTTTAGGTATTTACCTCTGTAACGGACACGGTTATGTAACGTAACGTTTCTCTCGCCCCCCCCCCACCTAACCCCCCCACCCCCTACCCCCCCTACTCAACCCCTCTCTCAGCACGCTTAACCTTCCCTCCCTTTCACCAGATTAGCGTCAAATATTGGTGCTTCATGAAAAGGTTATTGCCGATAGAAAGGGGTGAGCAGGGGTTGTGCTTGGTCTGAGAGGGGTGAGGAGGGGTTTTGCTTGGTCTGAGAGGGGCGAGGGGGGGTTGTGCTTGGTCTGAGAGGGGTGAGGGGGGTTGTGCTTGGTCTGAGAGGGGTGAGGAGGGGTTGTGCTTGGTCTGAGAGGGGTGAGGGGGGGTTGTGCTTGGTCTGAGAGGGGCGAGGAGGGGTTGTGCTTGGTCTGAGAGGGGTGAGGGGGGGTTGTGCTTGGTCTGAGAGGGACGAGGAGGGGTTGTGCTTGGTCTGAGAGGGGTGAGGAGGGGTTGTGCTTGGTCTGAGAGGAGTTAGGAAGGTTGTGCTTGGTCTGAGAGGGGTGAGGAGGGGTTGTGCTTGGTCTGAGAGGGGTGTGGAGGGTTGTGCTTGGTCTGAGAGGGGCGAGGGGGGGTTGTGCTTGGTCTGAGAGGGGTGTGGAGGGTTGTGCTTGGTCTGAGAGGGGCGAGGAGGGGTTGTGCTTGGTCTGAGAGGGGTGAGGAGGGGTTGTGCTTGGTCTGAGAGGGGCGAGGAGGGGTTGTGCTTGGTCTGAGAGGGGTGAGGAGGGGTTGTGCTTGGTCTGAGAGGGGCGAGGAGGGGTTGTGCTTGGTCTGAGAGGGGTGAGGAGGGGTTGTGCTTGGTCTGAGAGGGGTGAGGAGGGGTTGTGCTTGGTCTGAGAGGGGTGTGGAGGGTTGTGCTTGGTCTGAGAGGGGCGAGGGGGGGTTGTGCTTGGTCTGAGAGGGGCGAGGGGGGGTTGTGCTTGGTCTGAGGGGGGTGAGGGGGGGCTGTGCTTGGTCTGAGAGGGGTGAGGGGGGTTGTGCTTGGTCTGAGAGGGGTGAGGAGGGGTTGTGCTTGGTCTGAGAGGGGTGAGGAGGGGGGGGGGTTGTGCTTGGTCTGAGAGGGGTGAGGAGGGGGGGGGTTGTGCTTGGTCTGAGAGGGGTGAGGAGGGGGGGGGGTTGTGCTTGGTCTGAGAGGGGTGAGGAGGGGGGGTTGTGCTTGGTCTGAGAGGGGTGAGGAGGGGGGGGTTGTGCTTGGTCTGAGAGGGGTGAGGAGGGGGGGGTTGTGCTTGGTCTGAGAGGGGTGAGGAGGGGGGGGTTGTGCTTGGTCTGAGAGGGGTGAGGAGGGGGGGGGTTGTGCTTGGTCTGAGAGGGGTGAGGAGGGGGGGGGGTTGTGCTTGGTCTGAGAGGGGTGAGGAGGGGGGGGGGTTGTGCTTGGTCTGAGAGGGGTGAGGAGGGGGGGGGGTTGTGCTTGGTCTGAGAGGGGTGAGGAGGGGGGGGTTGTGCTTGGTCTGAGAGGGGTGAGGAGGGGTTGTGCTTGGTATGAGAGGGGTCAGGAGGGGTTGTTGCTTGTTCTGAGAGGGGTGAGGAGGGGTTATGCTTGGTCTGAGGGGGTGAGGAGGGGTTGTGCTTGGTCTGAGAGGGGCGAGGAAAGGGAGTGATACAAAGGCTGGGGCAGTAAGTGTGGAGGGGCGAGGGGCAGTAAGTGTGGAGGAGCGAGGGGCAGTAAGTGTGGAGGAGCGAGGGGCAGTAAGTGTGGAGGAGCGAGGGGCAGTAAGTGTGGAGGAGCGAGGGGCAGTAAGTGTGAAGGGGCAGTAAGTGTGGAGGGGCGAGGGGAAGTAAGTGTGGAGGGGGCAGTAAGTGTGGAGGGGGCAGTAAGTGTGGAGGGGGCAGTAAGTGTGGAGGGGCAGTAAGTGTGGAGGGGGCAGTAAGTGTGGAGGGGGCAGTAAGTGTGGAGTGGGCAGTAAGTGTGGAGGGGGCAGTAAGTGTGGAGGGGGCAGTAAGTGTGGAGTGGGCAGTAAGTGTGGAGTGGGCAGTAAGTGTGGCGGGGGCAGTAAGTGAGGAGTGGGCAGTAAGTGTGGAGGGGCAGTAAGTGTGGAGTGGGCAGTAAGTGTGGAGGGGGCAGTAAGTGTGGAGGAGCGAGGGGCAGTAAGTGTGGAGGGGCAGTAAGTGTGGAGGGGGCAGTAAGTGTGGAGGAGCGAGGGGCAGTAAGTGTGGAGGGGCAGTAAGTGTGGAGGAGCGAGGGGCAGTAAGTGTGGAGGGGCAGTAAGTGTGGAGGAGCGAGGGGCAGTAAGTGTGGAGGGACAGTAAGTGAGGAGGGGATAGTAAGTGTGGAGGGGCAGTAAGTGTGGAGGGGGCAGTAAGTGTGGCGGGGCAGTAAGTGTGGAGGGGCAGTAAGTGTGGAGGGGCAGTAAGTGTGGCGGGGCAGTAAGTGTGGAGGGGCAGTATGTGTGGAGGGGCAGTAAGTGTGGCGGGGCAGTAAGTGTGGCGGGGCAGTAAGTGTGGCGGGGCAGTAAGTGTGGAGGGGCAGTAAGTGTGGCGGGTCAGTAAGTGTGGGGGGGCAGTAAGTGTGGAGGGGGCAGTAAGTGTGGAGGGGGCAGTAAGTGTGGCGGGGCAGTAAGTGTGGCGGGGCAGTAAGTGTGGAGGGGCAGTAAGTGTGGAGGGGCAGTAAGTGTGGAGGGGCAGTAAGTGTGGCGGGGGCAGTAAGTGTGGCGGGGCAGTAAGTGTGGCGGGGCAGTAAGTGTGGAGGGGCAGTAAGTGTGGCGGGGCAGTAAGTGTGGCGGGGCAGTAAGTGTGGAGGGCGCGCGGGGCAGCCGGACACAAGAGCCTGGCCCGGGTAACATCTGCTCCCGTACTGTGGCATTTCCGGCTGCATCAGGCTGGAGGGATGCCTTCACTGCCGGATGGTGCTGGTGTCCGCTCCCCTGCCCCACACCTGCCCCACACCTGCCCCGCCGGCCCCCAGTCCCCACACCTGCCCCGCCGGCCCCCAGTCCCCACACCTGCCCCGCCGGCCTCCAGTCCCCACACCTGCCCCGCCGGCCCCCAGTCCCCACACCTGCCCCGCCGGCCCCCAGTCCCCACACCTGCCCCGCCGGAAGTAAGACCGTGAGTGGGGTAGATGTGAGTAAGACCATGAGTAAGACCATGAGTAAGACCATGAGTAAGACCATGAGTAAGACCGTGAGTAAGACCATGAGTAAGACCATGAGTGAGACCATGAGTAAGACCATGAGTGAGACCATGAGTGAGACCATGAGTAAGACCATGAGTAAGACCATGAGCAAGACCATGAGTGAGACCATGAGTAAGACCGTGAGTAAGACCATGAGCAAGACCATGAGTGAGACCATGAGTAAGACCGTGAGTAAGACCGTAAGACCATGAGTAAGACCATGAGTAAGACCATGAGTGAGACCATGAGTGAGACCATGAGTAAGACCGTGAGTAAGACCATGAGTAACACCATGAGTGAGACCATGAGTAAGACCATGAGTAAGACCATGAGTAAGACCGTAAGACCATCAGTAAGACCATGAGTGAGACCATGAGTAAGACCATGAGTGAGACCATGAGTAAGACCATGAGTAAGACCATGAGTAAGACCATGAGTGAGACCATGAGTGAGACCATGAGTAATACCATGAGTGAGACCATGAGTAAGACCATGAGTAAGACCATGAGTAAGACCATGAGTGAGACCATGAGTAAGACCATGAGTAAGGCCATGAGCAAGACCATGAGTGAGACCATGAGTAAGACCGTGAGTAAGACCGTAAGACCATGAGTAAGACCATGAGTAAGACCATGAGTAACACCATGAGTGAGACCATGAGTAAGACCATGAGTAAGACCATGAGTAAGACCGTGAGTAAGACCATGAGTAAGACCGTGAGTAAGACCGTGAGTGAGACCATGAGTGAGACCATGAGTAAGACCATGAGTAAGACCATGAGTAAGACCATGAGTAAGACCATGAGTAAGACCGTGAGTAAGACCATGAGTAACACCATGAGTAACACCATGAGTGAGACCATGAGTAAGACCATGAGTAAGACCGTGAGTAACACCATGAGTGAGACCATGAGTAAGACCGTAAGACCATGAGTAAGACCGTGAGTAACACCATGAGTGAGACCATGAGTAAGACCATGAGTAAGACCGTAAGACCATGAGTAAGACCATGAGTAAGACCGTAAGACCATGAGTAAGACCATGAGTAAGACCGTAAGACCATGAGTGAGTATTACCTCTCGCATGACTACAGGGCCGTTAGTGCCAGGCATCACGCGCTAATATAGCTGAGTGGCACTCGTCACGCTCTCATATTCTCCCCTCACACCATGCTTGGCACCTTCCCCCTCACACTATGCCTCACGGTAGGCACAGTCGTAGTGAGGCACATGGTCATACCTGATCAACCAGGCTGTGATTCGTACGTCAGGCTGCGTCCAACAGTCTGGTTGACCAGTCCAGTAACCAGGAGGCCTGGCCGATGACCGGGCCGCGGGGACGGTGAACCCCGAAATCATCGCAAAGTAACTGCAAGATAACCGCAAGGTAACTCAAGATAACCGCAAGATAACCTCAAGGTAACTCAAGATAACCTCAAGATAACCACAAGATAACCACAAGATAACCTCAAGATAACTACAAGATAACCTCAAGATAACCACAAGATAACCTCAAGATAACCACAAGATAGCCTCAAGATAACCACAAGATAACCTCAAGATAACCACAAGATAACCTCAAGATAACCACAAGATAACCTCAAGATAACCACAAGATAACCTCAAGATAACCACAAGATAACCACAAGGTAACCTCAAGATAACCTCAAGATAAGAAGGGTTTTGTCTCATGGTTTATGCCACAGGAAGCTAATGAGTGTCAATGTTCAGGTATTTCCTCCAGAAAACATTGAAAGGTTATCCACAGTGGTCACAGGTCTGCCGGCTGGTCTGTGTAACACTAGGTCATCAGTCCTGCGTGAACTGCTATGCAACACTTGACCCTAAGTCCTGCAGGACCCACTATGCAACACAACCAACCCTGCAGGACCCACTATACAACACACAACCAACCCTGCAGGACCCACTATGCAACCCACAACCAACCCTGCAGGACCCACTATGCAACACAACCAACCCTGCAGGACCCACTATGCAACACAACCAACCCTGCAGGACCCACTATGCAACACAACCAACCCTGCAGGACCCACTATGCAACACAACCAACCCTGCAGGACCCACTATGCAACACAACCAACCCTGCAGGACCCACTATGCAACACAACCAGCCCTGCAGGACCCACTATGCAACCCACTATACCAGGAAGCTGCAGACAGGTTTATCCCGGTCCAGAAGGAGAAAAGCGAAGAGCAACAAAAGAATCCATGGATCAACCAGGAATGTAAGGTAGTGAAGCAACTGAGTAAAAGAACATGGAGGAACTATAGGAATATCAGAACACCAGAGAGCAGGGAGAGATACCAGAGGGTCAGGAATGAGTACCTCAGAGTGAGGAGGGAAGCAGAGAGAGACAGTATGAAAATGTTATCGTGAGTAAAGCTAAGACCCAACCAAAACTGCTCCACAGCCACATCAGGAGGAAAACAGCAGTGAAGGAACAAGTGATGAAACTGAGAAAAGGGGAGAACAGATACACAGAGAATGACAAGGAGGTTCGTGAAGAACTCAAAAAAGAGATTCCAGGAAGCCTTCACAAAAGAACACAGAGAAGCCCCTGCACTAAATGAGGTGGAGGCAAACGAAGCAACCTTGGAGGAATTTGACCTCACCAGTGATGAGGTCAAAAGGAATCTGTTGGAGCTGAATGTGACAAAGGCTGTTGGGCCTGACAGAATCTCACCTTAGATACTAAAAGAAGGTGCAGAAGCATTAAGTGTGCCACTCTCTATGGTGTATAACAGGTCACTGGAAACAAGAGACCTTCCGGAAAGCTGGAAGACAGCTAATGTAGTCCCAATATACAAGAAGGGTGACAGGCAAGAGGCACTGACCTACAGGCCAGTTTCCCTAACTTGTTTACCATGCAAGGTGATGGAGAAGATTGTGAGGAAAAGGCTCGTAGAGCATCTGGAGGAAAATAGCTTTGTAACACACCACCAACATGGGCTCAGAGATGGTAAATCGAGCCTCACAGATTTAATAGAATTCTATGACCAGGCAACAAAAATCAGGTAAGAAAGAGACGGGTGAGCAGACTGCATATTTTTGGACTGCCAGAAAGTTTTTGACACAATACCCCATAAAAGGCTGTTACAAAAGTTGGAGCAACAGGCAGGAGTAAAAGGTAAGGTGCTCCAGTGGATAAGGGAGTATCTAAGCAACAGGAAACAGCGAGTAACTGTGAGAGGGGAGACATCAGAGTGGCGAAATCATAAGACAAAATTAGAGACGATTCAGCGGTATGCCACCAGGCTCGTCCCGGAACTGAGAGGTATGAGCTACGAGGAAAAGCTAAATCAGCTGAACCTCACATCCCTGGAAAACAGAAGAGTAAGGGGAGACATGATAACCACCTACAAAATTCTCAGGGGAATTGACAGGGTGGACAAAGACAAACTCTTCAGCACGGGTGGGACACGAACAAGGGGACACAGATGAAGACTGAGTACCCAGATGAGCCACAGAGATATTAGAAAGAATTTTTTCAATGTCAGAGTAGTTAGTAAGTGAAGTGCATTAGGCAGTGATGTGGTGGAGGCTGACTCCATACACAGTTTCAAGTGTAGATGTGACAGAGCCCAATAGGCTCAGGAACCTGTACACCTGTTGATTGACAGTTGAGAGGCGGGACTAAAGAGCCAGAGCTCAACCCCCGCAAGCACAACTAGGTGAGTACAACCAACCCTGCAGGACCCACTATGCAACACAACCAACCCTGCAGGACCCACTATGCAACACAACCAACCATGCAGGACCCACTATGCAACACAACCAACCCTGCAGGACCCACTATGCAACACAACCAACCCTGCAGGACCCACTATGCAACACAACCAACCCTGCAGGACCCACTATACAACACAACCAACCCTGCAGGACCCACTATGCAACACAACCAACCCTGCAGGACCCACTATGCAACACAACCAACCCTGCAGGACCCACTATGCAACACAACCAACCCTGCAGGACCCACTATGCAACACAACCAACCCTGCAGGACCCACTATGCAACACAGGCAGCTGGGATGGCCATAGGGACCTAGAGAGAGAAAAAGGGGGGCATAGGGGCCAGCCTTTCACCCTGTCCTTTATGGTCGAGTTTTGCGTCGCGTCACAATGAGGTAATCAACCCATTTGGCAGAGGAACAAGTCGTATGGGTCCTTTTGCCTTACGTTGACTGTAGGACGGTGGCCCGTAGGTGGTGTGTGGGGCACTGTCTTGCCCCGAAGAGGGCTTGTGTTACACTAAGATGTCTGTGAAGGGCGAGTGTAAACAGCCGCGTCGTCGCTTGTTTGTCACGGCGCTGGTAGTTAGTGCGTCACGCAGCGACGGGGCTGCGTCACGCAGCGACGGGGCTGCGTCACGCAGCGACGGGGCCGCGTCACGCACCGACGGGGCTGCGTCACGCAGCGACGGGGCTGCGTCACGCAGCGACGGGGCTGCGTCACGCAGACAGTGCTACAGTGCCGGCTACTTCCCATAGAGTCGTGTGCATAACATTTTTCATTCACACACTCACAGTAATTCTTTTGTTCACTCATTATGAGTTTAGTGAGGTGATGAGTGAAGGCAAGCACCGGGTGACTTCATTCACCGAGGACTTCATTCACCGGGGACTTTATTCACCGGGGACTTCATTCACCGGGGACTTTATTCACCGGGGACTTCATTCACCGGGGACTTTATTCACCGGGGACTTCATTCACCGGTGACTTCATTCACCGGGGGCTTCATTCACCGGGACTTCATTCACCGGGGGCTTCATTCACCGAGGACTTCATTCACCGGGGACTTCATTCACCGGGGACTTCATTCACCGGGGACTTCATTCACCGGGTGACTTCATTCACCGGGGACTTCATTCACCGGGCACCAGGTGATTGCATTCAGAGCTGGGGGACCTGAGTGACAGGCCGGCCAGGATGAGTGAGTGGTCACTCACACACATCCTGTCACTCTCCCTCACTCTCACACAATCCTGTCACTCTCCCTCAACCGGTTAGCGCGTGGTCCGTGACTGGTCCACCCGGCGCTCAACGGACTTGGTGAGCGGTGGTCCCTAAGGGTACACACCTGGTCCCTCCCCTCTCCACACCTGGTGAGCCACTGTGGCTCCCCTCTCTCTCTCCACACCTGGTCAACCTCTCAGGGTTCGAACCCTGAAGCAGGAAGCTTGAAGCGCATGGACAGCTTTGTTGCAGCTTATTCAGGACGTGGGGGGGGGGGGGAGGGGGGGACCTGTCCCCCACCAGTCTGCTCCAGGAGGTCCTGTCATCCACCAGTCTGCTCCAGGAGGTCCTGTCATCCACCAGTCTGCTCCAGGAGGTCCTGTCACCCACCAGTCTGCTCCAGGAGGACCTGTCACCCACCAGTCTGCTCCAGGAGGACCTGTCACCCACCAGTCTGCTCCAGGAGGACCTGTCACCCACCAGTCTGCTCCAGGAGGACCTGTCACCCACCAGTCTGCTCCAGGAGGACCTGTCACCCACGAGTCTGCTCCAGGAGGTCCTGTCATCCACCAGTCTGCTACAGGAGGACCTGTCACCCACCAGTCTGCTCCAGGAGGACCTGTCATCCACCAGTCTGCTACAGGAGGACCTGTCACCCACCAGTCTGCTCCAGGAGGTCCTGTCATCCACCAGTCTGCTCCAGGAGGACCTGTCACCCACCAGTCTGCTCCAGGAGGACCTGTCATCCACCAGTCTGCTACAGGAGGACCTGTCACCCACCAGTCTGCTCCAGGAGGTCCTGTCACCCACCAGTCTGCTCCAGGAGGTCCTGTCACCCACCAGTCTGCTCCAGGAGGTCCTGTCACCCACCAGTCTGCTCCAGGAGGACCTGTCACCCACCAGTCTGCTCCAGGACGTCCTGTCATCCATCAGTCTGCTCTAGGAGGTCCTGTCACCCACCAGTCTGCTCCAGGAGGTCCTGTCATCCACCAGTCTGCTCCAGGAGGACCTGTCACCCACCAGTCTGCTCCAGGTGGACCTGTCCCCCACCAGTCTGCTCCAGGAGGTCCTGTCACCCACCAGTCTGCTCCAGGAGGACCTGTCACCCACCAGTCTGCTCCAGGACGTCCTGTCATCCATCAGTCTGCTCTAGGAGGTCCTGTCACCCACCAGTCTGCTCCAGGAGGTCCTGTCATCCACCAGTCTGCTCCAGGAGGACCTGTCCCCCACCAGTCTGCTCCAGGAGGACCTGTCCCCCACCAGTCTGCTCCAGGAGGACCTGTCACCCACCAGTCTGCTCCAGGAGGACCTGTCACCCACCAGTCTGCTCCAGGAGGACCTGTCACCCACCAGTCTGCTCCAGGAGGACCTGTCACCCACCAGTCTGCTCCAGCAGGACCTGTCACCCATTAGTCTGCTCCAGCAGGACCTGTCCCCCACCAGTCTGCTCCAGGAGGTCCTGTCACCCACCAGTCTGCTCCAGGAGGACCTGTCACCCACCAGTCTGCTCCAGGAGGACCTGTCACCCACCAGTCTGCTCCAGGAGGACCTGTCACCCACCAGTCTGCTCCAGGAGGACCTGTCACCCACCAGTCTGCTCCAGGAGGACCTGTCACCCACCAGTCTGCTCCAGGAGGACCTGTCACCCACCAGTCTGCTCCAGGAGGACCTGTCACCCACCAGTCTGCTCCAGGAGGACCTGTCACCCACCAGTCTGCTCCAGGAGGACCAGTCACCCACCAGTCTGCTCCAGGAGGTCCTGTCACCCACCAGTCTGCTCCAGGAGGACCAGTCACCCACCAGTCTGCTCCAGGAGGTTGTTGTAAAGACACTGTTGTATACAGCAGTGTGTTTACCGACAGCCGTGATGCTGCCCAATAACCTCCGGCAACATGTAATATGTGTATCACCTTGCCTGCTGCCTCGGAGGGTGTCGACGGCGTCAGTCACCTCCGGTACATTTCACTCACCTTCATAACATTTTCAAATTAATTCCGGAGAAATAATTTTTCAAGATCAATGCCTGAATCATTAATATAACTCGCATGCATATATATATATATATATATATATATATATATATATATATATATATATATATATATATATATATATATATATATATATATATATATATATATGTCGTACCTAGTAGCCAGAACTCACTTCTCAGCCTACTATTCAAGGCCCGATTTGCCTAATAAGCCAAGTTTTCCTGAATTAATATATTTACTATAATTTTTTTCTTATGAAATGATAAAGCAACCCTTTTCTCTATGTATGAGGTCAATTTTTTTTTATTGGAGTTAAAATTAACGTAGATATATGACCGAACCTAACCAACCCTACCTAACCTAACCTAACCTATATTTATAGGTAAGGTTAGGTTAGGTAGCCAAAAAAAGCTAGGTTAGGTTAGGTAGGTTAGGTAGACGAAAAAACATTAATTCATGAAAACTTGGCCTATTAGGCAAATCGGGCCTTGAATAGTAGGCTGAGAAGTGCGTTCTGGCTATTAGGTACGACATATATATATATATGTCGTACCTAATAGCCAGAACGCACTTCTCAGCCTACTATTCAAGGCCCGATTTGCCTAATAAGCCAAGTTTTCATGAATTAATGTTTTTTCGTCTACCTAACCTACCTAACCTAACCTAACCTAGCTTTTTTTGGCTACCTAACCTAACCTTACCTATAAATATAGGTTAGGTTAGGTTAGGTAGGGTTGGTTAGGTTCGGTCATATATCTACGTTAATTTTAACTCCAATAAAAAGAAATTGACCTCATACATAGAGAAAAGGGTTGCTTTATCATTTCATAAGAAAAAAATTATAGTAAATATATTAATTCAGGAAAACTTGGCTTATTAGGCAAATCGGGCCTTGAATAGTAGGCTGAGAAGTGAGTTCTGGCTACTAGGTACGACATATATATATATATATATATATATATATATATATATATATATATATATATATATATATAATATGTGTGTGTGTGCATGTACTCACCTAGGTGTGTTTGCGGGGGTTGAGCTCTGGCTCTTTGGGCCCGCCTTTCAACTGTCAATCAACTTATTTTTTTCTCTCACACGCGCACACACAGGAAGCAGCCCGTAGCAGCTGTCTAACTCCCAGGTACCTATTAACTGCTATGTGAACAGGTACATCAGGGTGAAAGAAACTGCCCATTTGTTTCCGCCTCTGCTGGGGATCGAACCCGGACCCTTAGGACTAGAAATCCCGAGCGATGTCCACTCAGCCGTCTGGCCCCTATGTGTACTCACCTAGGTGTGTTTGCTGGGGTTGAGCTCTGGCTCTTTGGTCCCGCCTCTCAACCGTCAATCAACTGGTGTACAGATTCCTGAGCCTATTGGGCTTTATCATATCTACACTTGAAACTGTGTGTGTGTGTGTGTGTGTGTGTGTGTGTGTGTGTGTGTGTGTGTGTGTGTGTGTTTGAGTAGCAATTAGTATAAAATAAACAAGAGCCATAGTGGGTGTGGAGGATGAGGGTGCCACCACCACTGAGCCATAACAATGCCAGCATGGAGTGCCAATCTCCACCTCCCTCTCCCCCCCCCCGGGCAGGTCACAGCTAGACTGGTTCACATCAGCGGCATTGATGCACTTAAAGTGTATATTATGACTCGCCGACTAAAGCAGATTCATGTTGTAGCACAGTGTGGGTGTGGTCACTGCCCTGGCCACCAGTGGTGTGAAGGGTGTGGCCCCAGACACCACCACACTCTTCACACCACTGTGCCTTGAGTGATGGTCAGGTTTGTAATACAAAGAATATTTTATCCAAGCATATATGCCTGAGCCTATTGGGCTCTATCATGCCTACACTTGAACCTGTGTATGGAGTCAGCCTCCACCACATCACTGCCTGAATATACTGTTCTGGTATAACCAATGGGAGGTAACTTAGGATGTAAAGAGTTACCGAGACCGGTTAGGATGGGAGGGCTCCTGGCACTGCCCAAACGCTTTGGAGGTGGGGCATTTGACCCAAGTACCGTGACCACCATGGTCATTTGACGGACTGTGTTGGGGGTGACGATGATATTGTTGTAGCGGTGATTCCCACAGGTACTGGAGCACCTCTGGAAGCTTGGCCGCTCACCTCTGATCACTCGGTCAAGAAGGTTGACCGAAGAAGAAGGAAGAAGACGGTAGGGAATCTTGGCTGGCAGACGGTCAAGACGCCCGGAGTGACGTAACGCTGACAGCCAGCTGCAGTTTTGCCAGATGGTCTAGTGAGACACGCAGGACCGGATGTCTGGCCTTGTCAAGGACACGGCAGTGAGCCAGCTGGGGGCACGGCCAGCTGAGGGCACGGGCCAGCTGGGGGCACGGCCAGCTGGGGACACGGGCCAGCTGGGGGCACGGGCCAGCTGGGGACACGGGCCAGCTGGGAACACTAACTTAGTACTTTCCTCGTTGTTGTTCGCTAAACAAAAAAATTCCAAGTAGCACGGGCTATGGTGATCCCGTAGTGCTTTCCTCTGATAATTACCTTGCCTCCATTTCCGTTTTGAAAGACATTATTCCTAATTACAGTGTATGCTGCCCCAGCCCTGCCATTAGTGGGATGAACTGATCCATCAGTGTAGAGTTGTTCTCGCCGGTCGGGGAGGGAGGGAACCGGTCGGCCGAGCGGACAGCACACTGGACTTGTGATCCTGAGGTCCTGGGTTCGATCCCAGGTGCCAGCGAGAAACAATGGGCAGAGTTTCTTTCACCCTATGCCCCTGTTACCTAGCAGTAAAATAGGTACCTGGGTGTTAGTCAGCTGTCACGGGCTGCTTCCTGGGGGTGGAGGCCTGGTCGAGGACCGGGCCGCGGGGACACTAAAGCCCCGAAATCATCTTAAGATAACCTCAAGATCTCAAGATAACCCATTACCTGTCCCCATTATATTCTTATCACTTGTCTCTCATTTATTGTGGCTTTATGTTGGACTTTTTCGTTATCTTTTGTTGTAATCTTATCTGGTTCGTCCTCCCGGGGCAGGTGACCTCTCTACAGGCATGAGCTTACTCCTACAGGCATGAGCTTACTCCTACAGGCATGAGCTTACTCCTACAGGCATGAGCTTACTCCTACAGGCATGAGCACACTCCTACAGGCATGAGCTCACTCCCTACAGGCATGAGCTTACTCCTACAGGCATGAGCACACTCCTACAGGCATGAGCACACTCCTACAGGCATGAGCACACTCCTACAGGCATGAGCTCACTCCCTACAGGCATGAGCACACGGGCTTGCTGAAGCAGGGACCTCAATGTGCTCACGAAGTCTTATGAAGAAACGGGAAAAAATGGAAATTCTGAAGAGACGTACGAAGATAGGATAGGAGCTGGGATAGGTGGGACGCAGTGAAGGAAGGTTGTATAACCACTATAGGACCATCGGGAATCGAACGCCGACCTAGCAAGAAGCGAGGCTGTCGCTGTACCGACCAGTCCTAATGGTGCGGTGATTCGGAATCATTTTTTTTATATATAATTAGGTGGTAACGACAAGGAAACTGGATTCACATCTTTCAAGAAAATATCAAACTATAGAATAGTAACAAATCGCTTACCGCTAATAGTCTAATTGGCTTGTTCAACACCTGAACAAGCCATCTTGGCCTTATAAGCGCCGATTAATTCCCAAACTTTTAGAGAAACGATAACTCAAATAATTTGGCTTCTCTTGATTTTAATTTAAACAAAATTGAATCCATAGGAAAAGTCACTGATTAATATATTCCTTGACAAATTATCTAATAACATGGTGGTTTCTCCTCATAGTTACCTAACCAAGCCTGTGCATTATAGCAATTAGAAGGGATATGAGGACAAGGAGCTGGGATGTGAGGACAAAGAGCTGGGATATGAGGACAAGGAGCTGGGATATGAGGACAAGGAGCTGGGATATGAGGACAAGGAGCTGGGATATGAGGACAAGGAGCTGGGATATGAGGACACTGAGCTGGGATATGAGGACAAGGAGCTGGGATATGAGGACATTGAGCTGGGATATGAGGACAAGGAGCTGGGATATGAGGACACTGAGCCGGGATATGAGGACAAGGAGCTGGGATATGAGGACACTGAGCCGGGATATGAGGACAAGGAGCTGGGATATGAGGACACTGAGCCGGGATATGAGGACAAGGAGCTGGGATATGAGGACAAGAAGCTGGGATATTGCAAGTGATACTAATATGTTCTTAACATGTTAAATGTCTAATTTAACATGTTCAAAACATGTTAAATTAGACATATTAGTTAAGCATGCTATTTTTTTTTAAATATGGCAAGGTACATAAACAATATAGGCCAAATAGTGCATGTTTGTAGTGTGCAATTTGGTGCAACGAACACATTGCCGGTCGGAGCCGGTACGGCCGAGCGGACAGCACACTGGACTTGTGATCCTGTGGTCCTGGGTTCGATCCCGGGCGCCGGCGAGAAACAATGGGCAGAGTTTCTTTCATCCTATGCCCCTGTTACCTAGCAGTAAAATAGGTACCTGGGTGTTAGTCAGCTGTCACGGGCTGCTTCCTGGGGGTGGAGGCCTGGTCGAGGACCGGGCCGCGGGGACACTAAAGCCCCGAAATCATCTCAAGATAACCTCAAGATAACATTGTTACTAACACCTCATCTTACCCTCATTCTTCATACTTTCAAGAGTCGTACAGTGGTTGAGTGTTCACTAAACCCTTGAACTATATGTTTAACACATCTCTAACCCTAAATGGAGGACAGAAGAAAATGTATATATGCTGGTTAGCATTGTAAATGTCTGGCCACGTCTGTGGTAGAAAATAATAATACAAAAAAAATTATAAGTAAGTCAGATGGCTCAAGGCAACTTTTAGTTAACATTAAATAAAGATAATGTGTATATTAACTGAGTATTTTTTGTATTTGTGAATTTCAAGAGCCTATTCTGGATTATCATCTGGCGATGGGTAGAGTTCTGACTCCTGGGAGATATCTCGTACCCATTAGCACTGGGGTCTGGGCCTGACAGCTGAGTGGACAGCGGTTCGGGTTCGTAGTCCTGAGGTTCCTGGTTTGATCTCCGGTGGAGGCGGAAACAAATGAGCAGAGTTTCTTTCACCTTGATGCCCCTTGTTACTTAGCGGTAAATAGGTACCTGGGAGTTAGACAGCTGCTACGGGCTGCTTCCCGGGGGTGTGTAACAAAAAGGAGGCCAGGTCGAGGACCGGGCCGCGGGGACGCTGAGCCCCGAAATCATCTCAAGATAACCTCAAGAAGGGTCAGGATTTAATAAACATTTACACATCTTATGAACCTGTACATTTTTTTCTCAATCTTTTATGGCTTTGTTTACATTTATTAGTCAGTTTACCAGCATCAAAACTTGCTAATCAACTGTTGTTATTGTTATAAACAGCCTCCTGGTGCTTCGGAGCTCATTAACTGTTTAATAATTGTAAACAAAGCCGACAAAGATTCAGAAAAGATGTACAGGTTCGTAAGTGCTTGCGTAACTGCTTCGTGACTTCAAATCCAGGGGGCCCCCGGATGTAGGTGTGTGAGTTGATTGGTCAGTGTTTGAATTAGTCCACCAATCAGAACATTACCGAAGGTGACGTGACTCCAGAGTGGGCGATACGAGAGGTCTCATTGGCCCGACATAGTCACTATAATCCGAGAGCTGGTTGAGTAGAGACATACACTGTAAGGTGTACGTAAGTACTACGGGCTCACCATAGCCGGTGCTGCTTGGAACGTTTCGTTCCGAGATTGAAAACAGATAAAAACACCCTCGCTCCCACCACAATGGACTTGATAACGGACCGAAACGTCGTCGTCGTCTCATCTGGTGTGTGGTTTGGTCATTATATCTTCAGCCTCGTTATTGTGACTCCTCGTCTGCTTATCTCAAGGAATTTCAGTGGGTGTGGGGACCACTTTTTTCCGTATCCAGCCATTAACAATTCCTTAACTTTGTTCATTATTCTCATCTGCTTGCCTGAGGCTGTCAAGTTACACCTGATGAACACACCCGGTCAACAGAGAACCGGTTATGGAGGTTAGGAGAGAAGTTCAAATATGATGCAGTTCTTACTAACTCCAGTGGTAGCCTATTGACGGTATTTGAGTGGTAGCCTATTGACGGTATTTAAGTGGTAGCCTATTGACGGTATTTGAGTGGTAGTCTATTGACTGTATTTGAGTGGTAGTCTATTGACGGTATTTGAGTGGTAGCCTATTGACTGGTAGTCTATTGACTGTATTTCAGTGGTAGTCTATTGACTGTACTTGAGTGGTAGTCTATTGACTGTACTTGAGTGGTAGCCTATTGACGGTATTTGAGTGGTAGCCTATTGACGGTATTTGAGTGGTAGCCTATTGACTGGTAGTCTATTGACTGTATTTCAGTGGTAGTCTATTGACTGTACTTGAGTGGTAGTCTATTGACTGTACTTGAGTGGTAGCCTATTGACGGTATTTGAGTGGTAGCCTATTGACGGTATTTGAGTGGTAGCCTATTGACGGTATTTGACTGGTAGTCTATTGACTGTATTTGAGTGGTAGCCTATTGACTGGTAGTCTATTGACTGTATTTCAGTGGTAGTCTATTGACTGTACTTGAGTGGTAGTCTATTGACTGTACTTGAGTGGTAGCCTATTGACGGTATTTGAGTGGTAGCCTATTGACGGTATTTGAGTGGTAGCCTATTGACGGTATTTGACTGGTAGTCTATTGACTGTATTTGAGTGGTAGCCTATTGACTGGTAGTCTATTGACTGTATTTCAGTGGTAGTCTATTGACGGTATTTGAGTGGTAGCCTATTGACGGTATTTGAGTGGTAGTCTATTGACTGTATTTGAGTGGTAGCCTATTGGCGGTATTTGAGTGGTAGCCTATTGACGGTATTTGAGTGGTAGTCTATTGACTGTACTTGAGTGGTAGCCTATTGACGGTATTTGAGTGGTAGTCTATTGACGGTATTTGAGTGGTAGCCTATTGACGGTATTTGAGTGGTAGCCTATTGACGGTATTTGAGTGGTAGCCTATTGACGGTATTTGAGTGGTAGCCTATTGACGGTATTTGAGTGGTAGTCTATTGACGGTATTTGAGTGGTAGCCTATTGACGGTATTTGAGTGGTAGCCTATTGACGGTATTTGAGTGGTAGCCTATTGACGGTATTTGAGTGGTAGCCTATTGACGGTATTTGAGTGGTAGCCTATTGACTGTATTTGAGTGGTAGTCTATTGACGGTATTTGAGTGGTAGTCTATTGACGGTATTTAAGTGGTAGCCTATTGACTGTATTTGAGTGGTAGCCTATTAACGGTATTTGAGTGGCCACTCCACAGGACCCGCCCACTCCCTCACACACTCCACAGGACCCGCCCACTCCCTCACACTCCACAGGACCCGCCCACTCCACAGGACTCAGGACCCGCCCATTAGTGTCCCACAATCTGTCAACATGAGTTTCGACCAACTGAGCAAAGTCTGGATAACTTGTGTCTGGTAATGCAGAGTTCTGTTTACGGGGCCCCTGGAACCCGCTGGGGGCCCCCAGGGGCTCGCGGGGCCCCCTGGGGCTCGCGGGCCCCCTGGGGCTCGCGGGGGCCCTTGGGGCTCGCGGGGGCCCTTGGGGCTCGCGGGGGCCCTTGGGGCTCGCGGGGGCCCTTGGGGCTCGCGGGGGCCCTTGGGGCTCGCGGGGGCCCTTGGGGCTCGCGGGGGCCCTTGGGGCTCGCGGGCCCCCTGGGGCTCGCGGGGGCCCTTGGGGCTCGCGGGGGCCCCATGTGAATCCAGGGCCACCGCCCCTAAGGCTACTGGGATCACTGAGTGATGAACCTTCTAATATACATTTTCCTGATTTAATTTTTTTTAAATTCTGCCCCGAGGGGCGAGTTTATTGGGTAGCGTCATTCATCCTGTGAGTGTGGCGGTATGTCCACTCACAGGATGAGTGGCGCTGCCTAATACTGTCACTATGGCGGTGTGTCCACTCACAGGATGAGTGGCGCTGCCCAATACTGTCACTATGGCGGTGTGTCCACTCACAGGATGAGTGGCGCTGCCCAATACTGTCACTATGGCGGTGTGTTCACTCACAGGATGAGTGGCGCTGCCCAATACTGTCACTATGGCGGTGTGTCCACTCACAGGATGAGTGGCGCTGCCCAATACTGTCACTATGGTGGTGTGTCCACTCACAGGATGAGTGGCGCTGCCCAATACTGTCACTATGGCGGTGTGTCCACTCACAGGATGAGTGGTGCTGCCCAATACTGTCACTATGGCGGTGTGTCCACTCACAGGATGAGTGGTGCTGCCCAATACTGTCACTATGGCAGTGTGTCCACTCACAGGATGAGTGGTGCTGCCCAATACTGTCACTATGGCAGTGTGTCCACTCACAAGATGAGTGGCGCTGCCCAATACTGTCACTATGGCGGTGTGTCCACTCACAGGATGAGGGCGCTGCCCAATACTGTCACTATGGCGGTGTGTCCACTCACAGGATGAGTGACGCTGCCCAATACTGTCACTATGGCGGTGTGTCCACTCACAGGATGAGTGGCGCTGCCCAATACTGTCACTATGGCGGTGTGTCCACTCACAGGATGAGTGGCGCTGCCCAATACTGTTCACTATGGCGGTGTGTCCACTCACAGGATGAGTGGCGCTGCCCAATACTGTCACTATGGCGGTGTGTCCACTCACAGGATGAGTGGCGCTGCCCAATACTGTCACTATGGCGGTGTGTCCACTCACAGGATGAGTGACGCTGCCCAATACTGTCACTATGGCGGTGTGTCCACTCACAGGATGAGTGGCGCTGCCCAATACTGTCACTATGGCGGTGTGTCCACTCACAGGATGAGTGGCGCTGCCCAATACTGTCACTATGGCGGTGTGTCCACTCACAGGATGAGTGGCGCTGCCCAATACTGTCACTATGGCGGTGTGTCCACTCACAGGATGAGTGGCGCTGCCCAATACTGTCACTATGGCAGTGTGTCCACTCACAAGATGAGTGGCGCTGCCCAATACTGTCACTATGGCAGTGTGTCCACTCACAAGATGAGTGGCGCTGCCCAATACTGTCACTATGGCGGTGTGTCCACTCACAGGATGAGTGGCGCTGCCCAATACTGTCACTATGGCAGTGTGTCCACTCACAAGATGAGTGGCGCTGCCCAATACTGTCACTATGGCGGTGTGTCCACTCACAAGATGAGTGACGCTGCCCAATACTGTCACTATGGCGGTGTGTCCACTCACAGGATGAGTGGCGCTGCCCAATACTGTCACTATGGCGGTGTGTTCACTCACAGGATGAGTGGCGCTGCCCAATACTGTCACTATGGCGGTGTGTCCACTCACAGGATGAGTGGCGCTGCCCAATAAACTCGCCCCTTGGGACAAAATTTTAAATTTAAATTTAAAATTTGTAAACCTAGGTGTAGCCTCTGTTCCTTCAGTGTTTGTTACGTAGTCCGATGGTAGACTAAGGTATTCCAATGGTTTACCTCCCACGAAGCCTCGCCTCCCCATAGTGGACTAATTACTAACCTAATAATTATAAGCAAGTGCTGTTTTTTGCGGTTTTAATGTTACTTAAAATATATTGTTTTTGGAGTCAATATGTCAAGTGTGAGAAATTTTTAATTACGGTCCTTCGTCAGGGGTTTATTTTATATTATATATTATATTATAATATATTGTATCATATTGTATTATATTGTATTATATATTATGGTGTTGGTCCGTTAATATGAAGGCTTATATATTGGTGCCCCGCTTATCTGAGCGTTTATATGTGGGGGAGTTGATTTGATCTTAGGCTATCCCTTATGTTTCAGGCCATGTGTCATGTGTGCAGGAGTGGCCAGGCCACACACAGGCCATGTATCATGTGTGCAGGAGTGGCCAGGCCACACACAGGCCATGTATCATGTGTGCAGGAGTGGCCAGGCCACACACAGGCCATGTGTCATGTGTGCAGGAGTGGCCAGGCCACATGCAGGCCATGTATCATGTGTGCAGGAGTGGCCAGGCCACATGCAGGCCATGTATCATGTGTGCAGGAGTGGCCAGGCCACACACAGGCCATGTGTCATGTGTGCAGGAGTGGCCAGGCCACATGCAGGCCATGTATCATGTGTGCAGGAGTGGCCAGGCCACACACAGGCCATGTGTCATGTGTGCAGGAGTGGCCAGGCCACACACAGGCCATGTGTCATGTGTGCAGGAGTGGCCAGGCCACACACAGGCCATGTGTCATGTGTGCAGGAGTGGCTAGGCCACACACAGGCCATGTATCACCCGTGTAGGAGCGACCAGGCCCCACATAGGCCATGTATCACCCGTGCAGGAGTGACCAGGCCCCACACAGGCCATGTATCACCCGTGCAGGAGTGACCAGGCCCCACACAGGCCATGTATCACCCGTGCAGGAGTGACCAGGCCCCACACAGGCCATGTATCACCCGTGCAGGAGTGACCAGGCCACACACAGGCCATGTATCACCCGTGCAGGAGTGACCAGGCCCCACACAGGCCATGTATCACCCGTGCAGGAGTGGCTAGGCCACACACAGGCCATGTATCACCCGTGCAGGAGTGGCTAGGCCACACACAGGCCATGTATCACCCGTGCAGGAGTGACCAGGCCACACACAGGCCATGTATCACCCGTGCAGGAGTGACCAGGCCCCACACAGGCCATGTATCACCCGTGCAGGAGTGACCAGGCCCCACACAGGCCATGTATCACCCGTGCAGGAGTGGCCAGGCCCCACACACAGGCCATGTATCACCCGTGCAGGAGTGACCAGGCCCCACACAGGCCATGTATCACCCGTGCAGGAGTGACCAGGCCCCACACAGGCCATGTATCACCCGTGCAGGAGTGGCCAGGCCCCACACACAGGCCACGTGGCCCAGTGTATTATCAACAAGGGTAAACACCTCTCCCCTCGCAGCCTTCACTTTAGCAAGCTTAGACATTAATTTTCAGCTGTCAGGCCTGCATTAGTGTGTGATAAGACCGCCGCTTGCCCGCTGATACCCCAGCCTTACATGGGGAGGGGGGGGGCAGGGGGGGGCAGGTGTGGGGTGGGGGGGGCAGGTGTGGGGTGGGGGGGGCAGGTGTGGGGTGGGGGGGGCTGACGTGTGTGTGTGTGTGTGTGTGTGTGTGTGGGTGCCATGTGTGTGTGGGGGGACGTCGTGTGTGGGAAGCGTTATATACTCTCTACCACAGGTATGTGTCGTGTTGAAGCTCTCCGTGCAGATATGTGTCAAGTATCCGCCGAGATATGTGTCCGTAGGGAACTCCCGACCGCCTCTACCTGGCCACTATCTTGAGGTCACAATAGACATGATAGACACCACACACAGCCACGGTAGACATGATAGACACCACACACAGCCACAGTAGACATGATAGACACGACACAGTCATAGTAGACATGATAGACACCACACACAGTCACAGTAGACATGATAGACACGACATAGCCACAGTAGACATGATAGACACCACACAGTCATAGTAGACATGATAGACACCACACACAGTCACAGTATACATGATAGACACGACATAGCCACAGTAGACATGATAGACACCACACACAGCCACAGTAGACATGATAGACACGACATAGCCACAGTAGACATGATAGACACCACACACAGCCACAGTAGACATGATAGACACGACACAGCCACAGTAGACATGATAGACACCACACAGCCACAGTAGACATGATAGACACCACACACAGCCACAGTAGACATGATAGACACCACACATGCCACAGAGAACGGGTCACACACCTGTTACCTACACAGGTGTGCTACAACTCCCCAGGTGAGTCCTCTCCCCCTCACCCCCCCCCCTTCCCTGGAAAATAAATCATTCAATTCTAATATCAAGTGGGTTTAGAGCACTTAATGTAGTATTGTATTAGTAGTTGGCAAGACTATAGTGTTGAGACACTTAAGTGGTGTTTTATGTAAGGGGTGTCTACCCCTCGTCCAGTAAGTGGTTCAACCTAAGTGTATACCTCATTTGTGGCTCCTTTGTTTCTGCCAGTATGTTGTCTCTCTATGTTGTGAGTATGTTGTCTGTCCTCTATGTTGTATGTTCTCTGTGTTCTTATGTTGTAAGTATGTTCTCTGCTCTGTCTTGTAAACATGTTCTCTGCTCTGTGTTGTAAACATGTTCTCTGTGCTCTGTGTTGTAAACATGTTCTCTGCTCTGTGTTGTAAACATGTTCTCTGTGCTCTGTGTTGTAAACATGTTCTCTGCTCTGTGTTGTAAACATGTTCTCTGCTCTGTGTTGTAAACATGTTCTCTGTGCTCTGTGTTGTAAACATGTTCTCTGCTCTGTGTTGTAAACATGTTCTCTGCTCTGTGTTGTAAACATGTTCTCTGTGCTCTGTGTTGTAAACATGTTCTCTGTGCTCTGTGTTGTAAACATGTTCTCTGCTCTGTGTTGTAAACATGTTCTCTGCTCTGTGTTGTAAACATGTTCTCTGTGCTCTGTGTTGTAAACATGTTCTCTGCTCTGTGTTGTAAACATGTTCTCTGCTCTGTGTTGTAAACATGTTCTCTGCTCTGTGTTGTAAACATGTTCTCTGTGCTCTGTGTTGTAAACATGTTCTCTGCTCTGTGTTGTGAACAGGATACCAGCAGGAGAAGGTCGGGGCAGGAGAGACCATGGTTGGTACCGTGGTTAGGAAACAAGGTTGTTTACTAATGAATAAACTACCAGATGATAGACCTGGGATCGCTTGACTGTTTCAAGCGTAGGTGTGACACGCGAATGAGGTTAGTCGGATGTAAATAAAAGCTGCCGGGTATGGACAAATAGACCTCCCCGCTGGGGAAAGAAAACGGGGGTCTCATCACTTTTGTAAATATCAACATAAATAGTGATGACCTGCACATGAGGGATGAGTATGATGAGTCACTGGGAGTAACCCTTCACTTAAACAATAATGCTCTACATATAATCAACCCATATGTCCCACAGAGTAAACTTGACCTTGACACACTGGCTGAATTTGTTAATGAACCTACAGGTGATGAGTCACAATAACGTGGCTAAAGTATGTTGACCAGACCACACACTAGAAGGTGAAGGGACGACGACGTTTCGGTCCGTCCTGGACCATTCTCAAGTCAATCGACTTGAGAATGGTCCAGGACGGACCGAAACGTCGTCGTCCCTTCACCTTCTAGTGTATGGTCTGGTCATTAATGAAGACCCTACCCTGCTGGTTGGTGACCTTAATGCCAGACACCCACACTTTGGTGCCAACTGTCATCAGTCCAATGTCAATGGACGGAAACTGTCACTCTTTGTCAGGGGAAGTGAAAACCTTAGAGTCCTGGGTGATGAACAGCCAACTCACCTCAGAGGAGGAAGATTAGACTATGCTCTCCTGCTGAATGCACAGGACACGGATGCCAGTACACACATTGTGCACAGTTTATGTAGTGACCATTGGGCACTGATTACCACCGTCGACATGTGCAAGAGAAGGAAGGACACAAAAGATAAAGGTTATCACCTAGGAGCGGATATGAGGCCGCACTTCATAAACAGGATGAGTGACTGGTTCACGGAATAAAAAATCCCAAAAGACGTTGATAAATTTGTTGATGATCTTAACCACCAAATTGAGAGCTGTCTAAGAGTTCCGCGCCGCACGCCTGGGCGAAGTAACCCTCAGAGGAAGAAAATAAAATGGTATGAGAATGATTACATAAAGATGCTTAACGCAAATGTGCGAGACATGAGTAGAGAGTACCGGAGACATCCCACTGAAAGTAACCAAGAGTTGTTTAAAACTGTGTGTCAAGTAGCCAGGGAAGAGAAGATTAAAGAGCGGGAAAGACAATGGCTTGAGTTCACTAGCTCTATTGGACGGGAAACATCTGCAAGACAAGTGTGGGCAAAAATTCAGATAGCTAAGGGGGGCAGAGCCCAGCGTGCGGCTCACAAAGACCCCCAGGGTAAGGCTGAGGAACTAATTCACAAGTGGAGTGATGCAGCATCCTCCTCCTCCCTCCCTGCAGAAGTAAGTAGGGAACAGCTCCTGCGACATGATGACAGAAGAATTAGGATAACAAGAGCACTGTCTAGTGATGACGAATATGGGGAACCAATCACAGCCCAGGAAGTAAGGGGCGCTATGAATAAGGGTAAAAGTACAGCACCTGGTGAAGATGGCGTCACCTACGACATACTCAATGCACTGTGTGAAGTGTCTGGGAATCCACTACTCCACCTGTTTAACAAGTCATTCCTAAGTGGAGTGTTGCCCACACAATGGAAACACGCAATAATTGTTCCCATACCGAAGCCTAATGACCCTGGCAATTACAGACCTATCAGCCTCGTGTCATGCACTTGCAAGATGCCTGAAAGGATCATCCTAAACCGACTGTTGCACAAAATAGGCAGGTTAGGGCAGGGGGTCAATGGATTTGTTAAAGGACGGAGCACAGCAAACTGTATAGTTAATTACTTGGCTAATGACACAGCTAGGTACTCCGTATTTGTTGACATCAAAGGAGCCTTTGACAATCCTTGTTCTTATCTCCGGGAAGTATATATGCCAGTATATATGAGGTATATATATAAATTAGTAAAAAAAAAGACTTAATACCTTATCATCAGCCTGTAGACACTAAATGTAAGAACACGATTCATGACATTAAAGAAATCATTCTCACGAACAGATGACGTGTTTACAAACAAATCCCACACATCCCACTCGCTGTTACGTGAACTGTGTGTTCAGAGCGTTGTTCAGGCTCACCCTTGACCTGTTGGTGATGTCAAGTTCACTGGTTGTGCAAATTTCTAGAAATGCATATTGCATATATATATAGAAATATATAGAAAATATATAGAAATGCATATGTATAGTCTATAAGTCTCCTCTTTACGACGGTATATACTTGGTCTACTTTGTCAATATACTTCGCGTCTATATTTATAAATAATATGTCTTACGTCTGAAGCTTTGGAATCCGCTTTACTTCGTTCTACAAAGTGTAAACTTTTCTGTTACGTCGCTTGTATTCTATATCTAAATCAGTGTCGTTAGAATTAGAATAATTACATTATAAGTGTAAAGGAAACTGCAGCTCCTATTGGCCCATACGAGGCAGCTCCTATTGGTCCATACGAGGCAGCTCCTATTGGTCCATACGAGGCAGCTCCTATTGGCCCATACGAGGCAGCTCCTATTGGTCCATACGAGGCAGCTCCTATTGGTCCATACGAGGCAGCTCCTATTGGTCCATACGAGGCAGCTCCTATTGGTCCATACGAGGCAGCTCCTATTGGTCCATACGAGGCATCTTCTATTGGTCCATACGAGGCTGCTCCTATTGGTCCATACGAGGCAGCTCCTATTGGTCCATACGAGGCTGCTCCTATTGGTCCATACGAGGCTGCTCCTATTGGTCCATACGAGGCAGCTCCTATTGGTCCATACGAGGCAGCTCCTATTTATAGCCACCCAATCACGTTAATATACAGTACAGATATTTGCTTAATCTACCTTTGAGATAATTCAAGGATCCCATCTATTGTGTCCCTCAGTAATGTGTTCCATAAATTTCAGTTGTCTGAACTGTATTGTTCATGTATTGAGCATCAGTAGCCTACCTGAATTTATTATACAACAGAATTATGATGATTAATCACTATGCTATTATCATGAGTTTAATGTGTAAATTGTGTGAATGATAAATATACCATCATTTAGACCACACACTAGAAGGTGAAGGGACGACGACGTTTCGGTCCGTCCTGGACCATTCTCAAGTCGATTGTGATATTTGACTTGACTATTTCACAATCGACTTGAGAATGGTCCAGGACGGACCGAAACGTCGTCGTCCCTTCACCTTCTAGTGTGTGGTCTGGTCAACATAATTTAGCCACGTTATTGTGACTCATCGCCTGCATACCATCATTTATGGATAAAGTTTTGATCATGTGAATACTGGAAGGAAGTGTAAGGTGGTAAAACTGGCAGCGGATCGTGTTGTGGGGAAAGTACAACACTGAATAACCTAAATGGTTGTAGTGCCTGGCCTTAGGCCTACATCCAATACAAGAAAAACAGGTATTTAAGAGGCGTTCTTGCCCTTGAGATTTGCTTTCGGGTACTGGAAGCCTGTATTAAGGCCTCTCGAGGTCCTCGTAGGCCTACTACTGGTCTTCTGCATTTCTCTCCTGACCGTGGATTGACCTCAGGGGCCAGATTCACGCAAGCACGTGTACATCTTTCCTCAATCTTTGACGGCTTTGATTACATTTATTAAACAGTTTACAAGCATGAAAACTTGCCAATCAACTGTTGTTATTGTTATAAACAGCCTCCTGGTGCTTCGGAGCTCATTAACTGTTTAATATTTGTAAACAAAGCCGCCAAAGATTGAGAAAAGATGTACAGGTTCGTAAGTGTTTGCGTAACTGCTTCGTGAATCTGGCTCCAGGTTCTTTGGCTGCGAGTTGAGGACGTAGACTACTGTGCTACTGTAGCAAGCCCACTGGAGTCTACCAAGTGGGGGCTCTACACAGCTTTTCTTAACTGCTGAACTGGTTAGTTGAGTCCACGCTCGCATCGTGACGCCCTTGGTGAGTGAGGCAGTACCATGATGTCTCCACGGACCCGTCCTCCATAATCTCCCACCCCATGCCTCCCCATCACTACTTGCTGCACCCCTCATATTGTAGGCTACCCTCACTGTCCTCCCCCATACTCTAACCCCTCCCCCATCCGGCCAGCCCTCCCGTACCCTCATCCCGGGGCACTGATGACCCCGGCCGCCAACCTGACCACCGCCGCACGCCCACACTCGCCCCCATACCCGCCTCTCCAGCTCCCACAGCGATCTTGTCCTCGACGTACGGGCGGCGGGGATTCTCCCCCATTGCCCCCAGATTAACACCGTCAACAGCAAGGAGCGTCGCGTACAGGGCGAAGAGTGACGGAAACGTTACTCGCGGCCGGAGGGAAAACACATTTTCTTTGTTGAGGTATGGCGGAGGCGCTAAACAGGCGGGAGGGCGGGAGTGTAAGCGCTCCGCCTCGCAATGTAAACAACTCCCTGGCGCTCTCTGCCCTCTCTTAGCCTACGCTGCCATCCGCCTCCTTTCTCCAATTTATCTTCGTTCCTTGTGCCGCCACGTCGTCCGTACACTATGCGTAAGTATTAATGGAGCAATTCGAACGGCTTATGATGTAATTGTTACTGTTTGTGTTCGTAGATAAATACGATTTAATTAAAATCCATCACCGAGTTGGAAACAAAATATCTTAGGGAACGTTGGGTACAGAATGAATGTAAGACTATTCACCATCGCTGGTGATTCATGGCCCTCGGCACTCCAATGAATGTAGAGAGTGAATTAGAGTGAATGGTCGGTACAAGTCCTCATCCCACATGTCCCACACCACCAGCCACTCCTCCCCACAGTGTGGTAGGCACCATTGTACACCCGGAGGTGTTTCTTATTTCTCTGGGTATATACATTGAGTGTTTACTTTAATCCTGGACTACACTCAGGGCTAAAGTATACTTATTGCTTGATCAGTGTGGCGGTGTCACGGTTGTAACCCTCGTGATGGGCCTCAAGTCTCACACTAACCCTCACCTGGGCTAAAGTATACTTATTGCTTGATCAGTGTGGCGGTGTCACGGTTGTAACCCTCGTGATGGGCCTCAAGTCTCACACTAACCCTCACCTGGGCTAAAGTATACTTATTGCTTGATCAGTGTGGCGGTGTCACGGTTGTAACCCTCGTGATGGGCCTCAAGTCTCACACTAACCCTCACCTGGGCTAAAGTATACTTATTGCTTGATCAGTGTGGCGGTGTCACGGTTGTAACCCTCGTGATGGGCCTCAAGTCTCACACTAACCCTCACCTGTTCACTACTTGCTGGATTTATGGAACAAATTACTAATATAACAGATTGGAGTGTTTCAAGTGTAGGTTAGACATATATGAATTTGGTTGGACCCAGTAGGTCTTCTGCAGTTTATCATGCTTTCATTATTTCAGCTCTGACATACCTCTTAATCTTCTCTTAATTTGTCTTGTGTTTAACTAGATATTGACTCCAGGCTGGAGCTACATACTCCAGGATTGGTCTGACGTGTGTGTCTGTATTTACCTAGTTGTGCTTGCGCCGGTTGAGCTCTCTTTCGGCCCACCTCTCAACTGTCAATCAATAAACTTTTTTTCACACACCCTCCCCCCCCAGGATGCAGCCCGTAGCAGCTGTCTAGCTCCCAGGCACCTATTTACTGGTAGGTGAACAGGAGCTTCAGGGTGAAAGAAACTCTGCCCATTTGTTTCCGCAATCGCCGAGGATCCATCCCTGGTCCCTAGAATTAAGAATACCGAGCGCTGTCCACTCGGCCACCAGGCCCCCATCTGGTGTGCGTGCGTGTGCCCGGGTGTATTTAATACATAATGTAAAAATAAATTAGTTTTTTTTATCGCAACGTTTCCTTTGGGTTTCTGGTGAGTTAACCTCGTATATATATGTAGAGTGTTAGCGTGGCGGGCGGGCGGGTACGGTGTGTGTGGGTGGTAGTGGGCGGGCGGGTATGGTGTGTGTGGGTGGTAGTGGGCGGGCGGGTATGGTGTGTGTGGGTGGTAGTGCGCGGGCGGGTATGGTGTGTGTGGGTGGTAGTGGGCGGGCGGATATGGTGTGTGTGGGTGGTAGTGGGCGGGCGGGTATGGTGTGTGTGGGTGGTAGTGGGCGGGCGGGTATGGTGTGTGGGTGGTAGTGGGCGGGCGGGTATGGTGTGTGGGTGGTAGTGGGCGGGCGGGTATGGTGTGTGGGTGGTAGTGGGCGGGCTGGTATGGTGTGTGGGTGGTAGTGAGCGGGCGGGTATGGTGTGTGGGTGGTAGTGGGCGGGCGGGTATGGTGTGTGGGTGGTAGTGGGCGGGCGGGTATGGTGTGTGGGTGGTAGTGGGCGGGCGGGTATGGTGTGTGGGTGGTAGTGGGCGGGCGGGTATGGTGTGTGGGTGGTAGTGGGCGGGCGGGTATGGTGTGTGGGTGGTAGTGGGCGGGCGGGTATGGTGTGTGGGTGGTAGGGCGGGCGGGTATGGTGTGTGTGGGTGGTAGTGGGCGGGCGGGTATGGTGTGTGTGGGTGGTAGTGGGCGGGCGGGTATGGTGTGTGGGTGGTAGTGGGCGGGCGGGTATGGTGTGTGGGTGGTAGTGGGCGGGCGGGTATGGTGTGTGGGTGGTAGTGGGCGGGCGGGTATGGTGTGTGGGTGGTAGTGGGCGGCAGGACTCACCTCTCCCGCTCAGCTGACAACAGCCACCAACACAGGGAACCTTATCCATGTGAATAAATAGCAAACGTCACTTGTGTGTCAATGTTGTTATATTGTTCAGTTGTGTGGAGCCCTGGCCACCCACCAGTGAGGTCTGGCCACCCACCAGTGAGGTCTGGCCACCCACCAGTGAGGTCTGGCCACCCACCAGTGAGGTCTGGCCACCCACCAGTGAGGCCTGGCCACCCACCAGTGAGGTCTGGCCACCCACCAGTGAGGTCTGGCCACCCACCAGTGAGGTCTGGCCACCCACCAGTGAGGTCTGGCCACCCACCAGTGAGGTCTGGCCACCCACCAGTGAGGTCTGGCCACCCACCAGTGAGGTCTGGCCACCCACCAGTGAGGTCTGGCCACCCACCGGTGAGGTCTGGCCACCCACCGGTGAGGTCTGGCCACCCACCGGTGAGGTCTGGCCACCCACCGGTGAGGTCTGGCCACCCACCGGTGAGGTCTGGCCACCCACCAGTGAGGTCTGGCCACCCACCAGTGAGGTCTGGCCACCCACCAGTGAGGTCTGGCCACCCACCAGTGAGGCCTGGCCACCCACCCACCCAACAGTGAGGTCTGGCCACCCACCCACCCACCAGTGAGGTCTGGCCACCCACCAGTGAGGCCTGGCCACCCACCCACCCAACAGTGAGGTCTGGCCACCCACCCACCCACCAGTGAGGCAGAGTCGACGGAACTACCCCTAATAACGATGCACTTACACCCCTCACTGTCACACTCTGACTCAAGTCTGTTAGACACTCTCGTCCATTTCACTACACTACTCTTTACCTCCGGCTGTGTCTCAGGTCTGTATAACAGCTTGTGTAGAGATGTGTCGTCAGGCTCTTTGGCAGACAACAAATGTCTGTTCTCCCCCATCCTCCTCTTTATTTTTGTTTGCGTTAGTGTATAGTAAAGCCCCAGTAGGTTTATTAGGTAAATAATGCCATTATCTAAACCCGTTCTTGGGCTTGTTTGGGTGTATAATTCTGTGTTCTCAATTTCAACTAGTTCAGATAGGAACGTTATTATGTACAGCCTCTCTCTCTAGCACACGGAAACCCCTCTCACACACACACACACACACACACACACACACACACACACACACACACACACACACACACACACACACACACACACACACAACAACAATATTACATTAGGAAGTGATGTGGTGGAGGCTGACTCCATACACAGTTTCAAGTGTAGATATGATAGAGCCCAATAGGCTCAGGAACCTGTACACCAGTTGATTGACAGTTGAGAGGCGGGACCAAAGAGCCAGAGCTCAACCCCCGGCAGCACAAGTAGATGAGTACACACAGGAGTACTCCTTAGAGTACTGGTGAGGTGAGAGCAGGAGAGGAAGTAGTCAGCAGGGGGGCCGCTCTGACGAGCTTGTTAAGGAGATAACTACATCATTAGGCAATATTGGAGACTCGGGCAGAGAGCATTAGTACATGCTCCACACACCTGCAGCCTCACATGCTCCACACACACCTGCAGCCTCACATGCTCCACACACACACCTGCAGCCTCACATGCTTCACTCACACACACACACACACACACACACACACATATATATATATATATATATATATATATATATATATATATATATATATATATATATATATATATATATATATATATATATATATATATATATATATATATATATATATAATGTGTGTGTGTGTCAAACTGTATGGTTTTCAGTTTACGTGTTGTGCAAGCCTCGCCTCTCAATGGATACCAAGAGAGTTTACAACACGTTATGAAGTCTATTTATATTGTAAACATAATACACTTTGAAGCACAGTTCATATCTAGGAAGACAGCCTGTCTGTCTCTATCTTCCCTATGCATCAGGTGTTAGGTCGGCGCTAATAGGGTGGTGATTACGAGGGTAAACCACCTACCTAGTTCCTCGTGATCTCATCAGGGGCTCAAGTGGGTCCTCGACCGTCTAGACACCTTCAAGGGCTCAAACGCTGAAGGAGCTCATAACTCAAATAGGGGTTCATTAGCTTCAAGAACTCTAAACCATCGCGTGAAGACATCTTTGGACCTCCTCCTCAGCGTATACAGTCGCTGCTTGAGACATAAGAGGGCTGGTTCTTGGAATAGTACCTCAGGTTGAGGTTCACCTCGATATGGAACTTGAAGTCACGGATCAGTGTATAAAGACTCTTCAACGGCTAATAGTCATCATATTCTCTTCAAGTTCCCCCTCTCAAGTTCTTTTTTTTTAAGTCCTAATAGTGTTCTTCTCGAGTTATTAAGTTTTGATCAAATTCTTCTGGAGTTATTTTCAAGTTCTCTTCAATTTCTACTCAAGTTCTCGCTTTTTCTTCAGCTATTCTTCAAGTTCTTCTCAAGGTCTTAAATTATGCTCAAGTTATATTCAAGTTACTATTCACAACATAGAACTTCATTTGAATATAAGGAGGATTAAATATAAGAAAGATATATAATGTATATAATATATGTAAATGTATATCTTTTATTGCTTCATGTGCGCTGATTCCTCCAGGAGCCTACAGAGGCCTCCACACATCCCAACGAGTTTTGGTGCCCCA